TCATTTTTTTTGTTTTTTATTATTTTTACTCTAAATTTTTCTATCTTTCATTAAAAAAATAACAAAAATAGTTTTTTATTATTATTTAATTATTATTTTCGTATTTTAATTAAATCATTTTTTAAAATATTATTTTTTCACTTTTTTCTAAATTATTCATAAAAATATCCAAAAAATCATAAAATAAAAAATATTGAAAAAAATTTTGTTCTTTTTATAATATTTTTTATTTTAGGAATCAATAGGATTATTAGTTTTTATTTTAAGTTTATTTTAATTATTTTAAATTATTTAAATTTTATTTTTTCTTAACTAATTATTTAGTTTGGGCTTTAAAATGGGCTTTAGGGACATTATTGACAATTTGGTGTTAACCCTAATTTGTTCCCTATATATACATGTGTTGCCTTGTTGGAAAAAAGAAGAGAATGAAAAAAACCTAAGAGGAGTGAGTGCCGTTTGCCGTTATTTAGTTTTCTTCTTCATCCATTACTATTGTTTCTTTTTCTTCATCGTTTACCGTTATTTCTTTTCCTTCCTCTATTACTGTTGTTTCTTTTTCTTCATCTTTTACCGTTATTTCTTTTTCTTCATCTATTACCGTTATTTCTTTTTCTTTATCTATTACTGTTACGTTTATATATATATAATTTTTAAATTGTTAGAGTTTATATATATAAGATTTTTGATCGAATTATGTCGATACGATGTTTGCACATTTGTGTGCATGACGCGTGACATTTGTGTTAGTTCGATCTGGTTGCGATGATCGCATTTTTGTGTGAGCAATAATACTATTTTTTGCTTAATTTCTTTTTCTTTGCGATAAATTTTGTTTCGTCCGATTTAGATCTGGTTGCGATGAGCGCATTTCTGCGTTAGCAACATTGTTGGGTTATTTGGCACATTTAAAATTCATTATTGCTTTATTATTATTATTATTATTATTATTATTATTATTATTATTATTATTATTATTATTATTATTATTTATTATTATTATCATTATTATCATTATTATTACCATTATTATTATTATTGTTATCATTAATTTATTAAAATTTGTTATAATATAAAAATCTGTTTTTTAAAATAAATAACATTAACATCTTTTCCAAATTAATATGAAAACCTATTATTTTTAAGAAAAACTTTTTTTTAGATAAATTTAAAATAATAACTAAAATCTTTTTTTTAAAAATAATAACTAGAACCGTTATTTATTTTATTTTATTATTGTTCAATTCAAATTTCATTATCATATTGTATCTGCTCCTCTCATGTAACCTCGCGAACTTAACAATCGCTCTTTAAATTCTGCCTTTAAATTTCTGCTTGCATGGTTTAAATTATGACATTATCTCTCTGTTTGCATGATTCAATTATCTCACGCGTTTACTATTATTTCTGTCACATTGCACACATCCGAAGGTTAGGTCTAACTGTTTGGCCGCCGCGCCAATAGTCCGTAAAACTTCACACATTCAATTTCAAATCCTCAAAACTACAAACTACAAACCCTAATTTTCACAAATGCCTCGCCGCAGGCAAAATTACAATTTTACCCTTAGCATTAGGTCAAAGAGCCGCCGCGCTCATTTTAGGGTTTCCCGCCGTGGAATCCCTAATTTAACCCTAATTACAACTTAACATTTCAACGTAGAGATTTGGAGTTTCTACACTCCACGTAAGCGTGTCCTTAAGATGCGTTTATTCCCCTTGAGACCTTGACCACAGTCAAGAAGTTTCTAACCTCCCTATTGAGGGGAACTACGATTACTCTGATTCCACTCCCGTAAGGATACGTAGGCACAAGATGCGATGTCTTGCCGAGTAAACTTAGAATTAACCCCCTTTATTATTTATTATTGCTTATTTATATTTTATTTATCTTTGCTATTTAATTATTTTGCTTATTATTTTGTAATTGTTTCTTGGATGTAAAATTGTTTAATTATTTAATTATTATTATGGTTAGTAATTAGGGAGTGTAACAACATGTATGTAATATTAAAATAAATTTAGATCACTTTTAAATAAAGATAATTAAAATAAACACGTCACACACGTAAGTCGATTTTAATCGCCGTCTCACTTCCTAAGGATATCACTCAAGTTGCCTACGAATAATGGTTAAGTGGGGTGTATAAAGCAAGTCCCTCAAATAAAAAAATCATCAAAGTCCCTTATGGTTGCCTTTACGAATCGAGTCCCTTTCGAAAAATGATGATAGTCCCTCCAGTTTGCTTATTACACCCCACAATGGCCTTCAAAAATCCAATTGTCCCTCACATGTCCCTTAACATCCAAAGTAAGGACTACCTACTCCATTATAGTAGGGATAGTCTTACTAAGGAAAGGATAAAGAATAAGAAAGACCTTAAAACATTAGGGTAGGCTACTCCTAGATACTTGCTCACTTCAAAACTTTTTCACACTTAAACAAATTTCCAACAAAATTTTCAAACAAGTTTTTTTTCACATCCATACACGGATTATTATTAAACTATTCTGAAATTTTTTGCTATTCACACACTACACTTTCAAAACAATTCAAAAGTGAGCTTAAGTACCTAAGAGCCCATGGATAACCATGGATGAAAAGGGTGCTAACACCTTCCCTTTTCATAACCTACCCCCCGGACCCAAAATATTCTCTAAGGTCTTTCCTGTTCTTTTATAACCTTTCCTTATGGATAAAATAAAAGTCGGTGGCGACTCTTGCTATCCGCAACATTGTTTAAAGTCAGTTCTCCCACCGTGTTACAGATACATCAGGTGGTTCTTCAAGGTCTCACATCCGTACATGGTGTCGACTATTCTAAGAGATCTGCTGAGACCAGCTCATTAGGATATTCTAGAGGAGCAGCAGACTCAGCTAGATCATATTGAGGATGTCTTGTCTCGTTGTCGTCACATAGTGGAGATTGCCCGTGTAGGCATTGGCGAGGGTATTTTTCCTGAGGGGTATGCTGTCGGGCGAGTACTGGATGACATTCTTGCGGAGGCACATGAGACATTATTATATCGTAGACATCGCACGAGGACGGGGGGATCGATGGGCAAGGAGGCATACCAGACAGAGGAGGCACGTGGGTTAGAGGAGAGATTATCAAGCACACCGAATAGGAGCCTGTTATTATTTTGATGTAGTATTATAGTTTGTACTTTTTTTCTGACATTGTTACTACTTTTTGGATTCTGTGATGTACGACATTTTACTATTATATTGCTATATTATTTTGTATGTCTGTTATTTTATTCGAGATCGTGCTTTATAATTCATCTAAAAACAAATACACAACGCATTATAAAAAAACATGTTTTTATACACTTCAGAGATGTATCTCTGAAAAATTTCCGTAGATGCACCTCCGAAAATATTCAAATAAAAATGAATTATGAGAGATATACTCTAAACGTTTAAGGTTTAAAATAGTTGTGGAGATATATTTTCAAAATATGGTAATGTTTACTCATAAGTGAGGTCCGTTCGAAAAAATATCTCTAAAATCTGATAATATAAGTGAAAATCTATACAGTGTGCAAGTAATACGTAAGGTTGAAAAAAAAATCTTATGTGAATATTTTAGAGAGTCGGAGTATGAGAAAAATGAAAATGAAGTGGAATAAAAGTAACTACACTTGTATATAATTTTAGGTACTAGAAAATTTCAGAAAGGATCATTCCAAAAAAAAATCAAATTTAGTTTTTGAAAATTTATTTGATTTATGAAAAAACAAAAAAGGGAATAAAAAAATTCTCACTAGGTAGAACCCAATCAACACATGACGTTCAAGGAGTTAGAATTTTTTTTTCATTTTTCAAAAAATATGGAAAATTCCTTTAAAAAAACTTCAAAAATATTTAAATGGAAAAATTTGAATAAAATGTCCACAAGAAACCATTTTATAGTATAAATATGTAGAAACAAATTCGATCCAAACATATTATTATTATAAGATTTTTTATAATTATAATTAAATATTTTAAAACATTTAACTTTTATAAAAATTATCTCTAAAATCATTTGCGTAAATGAATATGGTAAGTGGTAACATTTTACACTCATAATACCCCAAATAAATTGTATAACTTATAAGAGTATTTAGACTTAGTTTATTTAAGTTTTTATTTAAGTAATTTGTATAATATTATATATTTTGTTTAAGAATTATAAATAATTTTTAAAAAAGTTTTTAATTAAAAAATTGATCTAAATGATTCATCTTAAAATATTATTTTATATATTTCATAATTTTATTGTAAAGTTTTTTAAATATCAAAATTTTAAAAAATCACATAAATATAAAAATATTTTAGAAAGTTTTTTTTTTCATAAAAATTATTGTTGATATACAGTTTTAGAAAAAGTTGAAACATTAACTATATTTTAATGTTAATAACATATATTTATGTTATGAGATGCAAAAAAATAATTCTAATTTACAAAAAAAATTAATATTTTATATTATTTAAATATAAAACAAGGCTATTAACATTACAAAATAATGCTATTTACAAAAAGAAATTAAATATAAAATATTTGTTTTGTGTACAAAAAAATTTTAAAATTAAAACATTATATTATTTAATAATATATATTTTAAATTTTTTACCTTATATCCTAACCTATATATTAATTAAACTTTTTAATATAAAAATGCTATATCAACCAATTTTTTCTAAAAGCACAATAAATACAAAGATTTCACCGGCAAAATTATAATAAAAAAATACATGCATAACCGTGATAGTGATGATAACTGAAAGGGGTAAAAAAGCAGTGGAATGGTAGAGCGCTAATGAAAGCTGGACTCGTAAACAAAAACAGTGATTGATTCTAATGAAACAAACCAATCACGGCACGCCCCAATCCTAACTCAATTCTTCAATCACATGTAATGTAATCAAAAAACCAAAACCCCTTTCTTCACATTCTCAACGTTCATACTCAATTTCACCTTCTCATTCTTTTCCATTTCCGTTTCGTTTCGCCATGGCGTCGAGAACCGGCGGCACAAAGCTTTCCTTCGAGGTTCTCCGCCGAAATCCAATCGTTGAAGAAGATTCTTTCCTCCATCATTCCAAATCGGATCCAGCAACTCTACCCGATCGCAAGAAACGTAAGAACCGAGCATCCAAGAAGAAAAAGAAATCTCTCGATCCCGTTGATTCCGTTGCTGATTCCGGCGATCCGAACCGGAAGAATGAATTGCCGCTCGAAAACGGAGGACCATGTAACGGTTTCGGGATTGACGCAATGAGGTATTGCGGTAACGGAGGAAGTGTCGTGTATGAGGAAGCTAGTGAAACGAGCTTCTCTGGTGTTACTGCGGCGCCTGAGGTTGGTTCTTCGTTTTCGACGACGGTGCGTGGGAGTGTAGAAGGGTTTGGTGAATTGAGGCAAAGAAATGTGAATAGCAGTTCTGAGGATTTAGTTGCTTCTGTGGTGGGCGATATCGGTGAAATTGGGAAGGACGATGATTGTGTGAAGGAGAGTCCGGTGGAGACACCGAGAAAAGAAACTGAAAGGAAAGTCCTTACAAAATCGGAAACGGTAGAATCGGTTGACTGGAAGCGGATAATGGAAGAAGATCCGAATTGTGAGTAGCCCACTTTCTTTGCTCTGCATTCAACATTGCATCTTGTACTTTACTGTAAAGTTTTCTCGGAATTCAGTATGTGATCAAACTGAACTTGCAATTTGATGGAAATTAAACTAAACAATACTACTTTAGTTGAGCAAACTGGATTCATGTTAGGAACTTGAATTAGTTTCAGAAACAGCGAATGGTTCAAAAAAAATTGCATGTTCTATAATTCTATCTTTAATTGTGGTAGAGTTTGTTTGGGATCCAAATTCTTTAGTAGCTTGCAAGTGCGGCTTTTCTTTTGGTATTCTAGTTCATGCCTGCATCCAATTAGTTACTACCTAGCTCTATAGGTTTTTCTTACATGCATGTTCTGCCTCAATTTTCTTTTCAATCTATGTTACAAAAAATTACACACAGGCTTGGTGATGTCAAGGAAATGAAATTTCGGTTGTCCCCGTGTCCCTATATGTAATGTGCTTGGTGGTATGGCTGTGATAAATAATTGGCAGTTTTGACCGGGCTAAAATCCTTTGCCGGTTTTTGATTATGCTCCAGCCGCTCATTTATGACTTAATATTAGTAAAACGGTCTCTGTGGTATCTTTACGTGAAGCATTTTTTTTTCTCAACTCTCTTTGTCATTTTAATTTACTCATACTGTGTGTGGTTTTTGGCATAATTAACCTTTTGGTGATATGTTTTGATGTCAGATGTGTTCACAGTAGATAGGTCTCCTGTAGCATACTTCTTGGAGGAAATGTACAATGGGAATTCTTTACGAAGCACAACTACTCTTGGCAATGAAACAGAAAGAGAGAGAGTTTATGACACCATCTTCCGCTTGCCATGGAGATGCGAATTGGTACACTTCTTTTTCTCAAATATAAGGAAGAATAAATAAAGATGATTTCTGGTTATATTCTTGATATATCATCTATGGACCTCTTCTCTTTGTTTAGTTTCGTTTACTTTTCCTCCAATGGTAGGGGAAAAGAAGTAAAGTTTAGACCTTCCACCTAATGCATAATAGCCAACTTATATTGCATATTTCTATCAAGGCATTCTACATTTTGTATTGTAGTATCTTAAACATGGAATGCAATTGCAGCTTATAGATGTTGGCTTCTTTGTCTGCTTCGATTCATTTCTTTCGTTATTAACTATTATGCCAACAAGGATCCTGATGACCATTTGGAGGCTTCTAAAGACAAGGTATGCCTCCTTTCTTAATTTTTCTCCCCTTGTAATAAAATGTTAGTTGGGCCTAATGTGAGGATTTAGGTGATAGATTAATCTTACAGCATCGGTTTCTTTAATTTAGACTTGTCTTTAAGCCGTGCTCATCTAGTACAATCGTACTAGTGCTTTAGATATCATTGTAAATCTTGGAACGATGAAACAAAATGGTTTTCCTTGGACCATGTGATCCCAAACTAGTTTAGTTCAAAATATAAGATACATACATGTTTAAAACTTGTTAGTTTATATACAGACTGAGGTAGTCAATGATTTTCTTGTAGCTGACAAATCTCTCCTTAATACTTGTTCTTGGGCTTTGATTAGTATTCCCCTTATTCGGTCCATTTAGTATTCTGTTATTAAAGTCTGTGATATTCTATCAGTATTACAATATGACCCAATCATGCTTGTGACAGACAGTTCAAGAGGCTCTCAACAATGGAATTGTCAGATTTCGGATGTTTTATTATTATGAGCTGTGGAGTTGTTCTTTTGCAGAGAACAGGTGCAGTGATTCTCTACTCCTCTGATTGTATTTTTTTTTGTATTGATCGGGTTTAATGTTATACTAATTCTGTTCTATTATGTCTTCCAAACCTGCTTCCTCAGATATCAGCTTAATATATCATATGATCCGTGGTCAAGGAACAATAAAATTGTATGTGGTCTACAATGTTTTAGAGGTGAGCATAAATTCATTTGCAAATTTGGATTATGGGGAGTTACTAGCTCTCCATTTGCAAAATTTAACCACATTGTATATTTATGTTATTGAGTTTGTGAGCAAGATCTTCGAGGGACAAAGGGAATTTTACAGTAACTGGAAGAACAAAATTTTGTATTTTACATGTAAATCATGAAACTATGACATTTGATGGAATAAAAAATTGCTATATCTAAAAATTTTTAGTATCAAATACACATCTCCAACTTGTTTAGTTTGTCATCACACACATTATCATGTAAAGTAATAAACTGACAAAAAAGAAAAGGCTGTTTCATATTGCCTTAGGTAAGATTTGGGACATGCCCAATCCCAAAGGGAAATTTAACAATAGGAGTGGGATTAATGAATGATACAAATAATCTGATGATAGTTTTTTTGAAACATCCATATGGGTATTCCATAGCCTTTTGGTGCTTAAACAGTTCATCAGTTCACAGGTACTGAAATTGTAATCTATGCAGCTAGAGATGTTACTTGTGGTTACCTACTTTCTACTTATTTCATAAGTGCCAACAATCATAATATCCATAATGAGACATATACTGTATGCTTGTAACTGATAATTGAAGTTCTTACAGATATTTGATAAACTGTGTCAAAGTTTTAATGGGGATGTGTTGCAAACATCATTTCATTCTGCTGAAGGACTTGCAAGTTGCCCCCCAGAAAATATGAGATTCTGGCTCTGGAGATTTGTTTGTGACCAAGCTTTAGCTGTGGTAGCTTCAAATATCCTTTTTCATTGGGTTGACTTTTCTCCCCAGTAGTTTGGATAACTATTTTCTTTTGTATAAAAAAAGAACTTCAGGGTCGGTTATTGGGTTCCTTAACCAGTCTTACTTGTTCATTCTTTTATCTTATTAGCTCAGGCAATCACTCTATCTACCTGTATAGTTGCTCACAACAACGCGTTGTTAGCTTTGCTGGTGTCAAATAATTTTGCTGAGATTAAAGGCAATGTGTTTAAGCGGTACAGCAAGGATAATGTTCACAGTTTGGTTTACTTTGGTAAGTTATCTTTCTTACTACAGTTTATGTTCTTTGATTTCAGCTTATTTGGGGTCAGAATCGAGTTTTTACATTGACTCGTTTTGGCCCAGTAAAATCAAAACATAAAATCGTAGAGTTTACCTCATATTAAGATAATATATATTATCAAACGTAGTAACAAACCAAGGTTACCTACAATCACATAATAACATAGTAACATAACATTACTCTGTTTTTTATTTGTGAAGAAGACTCACTTTTTAGATACTTACTAATCAAAGAAGAAAGCTCACAGAATATTACCGTTGTATACGCACCACCTTGAGGGGGAGTGTTGAGATATTGTTTTATTGTTATTATTCTATATCTATTGTTTTTATTAGTAGTATCAATTAGGATATTATTTAGGATTTTGTTGTATCAAATCTTTCCTTAATTAGTAAGGTCTATTATATATGTGTGTATTTTTCTCCACATAATAATACAAGAAATTCAGATTCAAGTATATTAAATCATCAAAACAACAAAAAAAAAAATTAAATAATGTTTGTGCCACATCGATGAACACATTATCTTTGAATTATCAAATCTGTTGGATGTACAATTTAAATTCCCCACACTAGAATCCTTCATAGAGGAATCACATGATTTTTTTTCGAAACCGATTTGTTTGGGAACATCACAAAATTGTGGCCAAAGTATTTACTTGAGCCTAATAAATACAAGAATGACTTAGTAATTTTAAGTAGGCCAGTGGGTGTAGGGCGGGTATCAACACCCCTGCCCCTGCCCCTGCCCCTCCCCCTGCCCCTAATTAGATCGATTTTTCCGCATTAAAATCAGGGAGGGTTCGGCCGAGTTCTGATCTTGTTGCCGTGCCTAATTGGGCTGCAGTCAAAAGAATTGTGTGATACCTTAGAGGTACTCTTCATCATGGACTGCTGCTCAATCCTGCTCCACCCTCAAAACCCCTGTTCTTATACTGCATTCTCTGAAGTCCTCATCAGGGCCTTGTATCTATCTTAGACCAAATATTGCTTCTTGGTGGTCTAAGAAACAAACCTTGGTGGCCTGATCTGGTACTGAAGCTAAGTACAGAAGTTTGGCTAACACATCAGCAGAGGTTCCTTGGCTGCAATTTCTTCTAACAGAGCTCAATGTTCCTCTTACTACTCCTTTTCTATATTGTGACATTTTGAGGACCGTAGCTCTGTCATACAACCCCGTCTTAAATGCCAAAACAAAGTAGGTGGAGCTGAATATCTTTTTTCTAATTGAGAGGGTGATCAATAAGACCCTGGTAGTTCAACACAGAGCAGTTATAGACTCCGAGTTGTTGACAAGAGTACTCTCTCAGAGAGAAATCTTCCAGGATTTGAAGGGTGGATATTAGAGTAAATGTACCAAGTGTATTAGTTATATCTGTAATTGTTTTATGTTAAGCAAAACAGTTAGATTGCAATTGTAACTCTTAGAATGTGTGGGTTGGGCCTAACTCAACCCTACAAAACCCACTTGTAGGGTGAGGATTGCTCCCACTTATAAACACATGTTCAGACCATAGATTATCCGATGTGGGACACTTAACACTCCCTCTCACGACCAGGATTTAGGTGGGTGGCCAAATGGATCTTAGACAGGCTCTGATACCATCTTAAAATGTGTGGGTTGGGCCTAACTCAACCCTACAAAACCGGCTTGTAGGGTTAGGATTGCTCCAACTTATAAACACATGTTCAGGCCATAGATTGTTTGATGTGGGACTCTTGACAGTAACAAACTCTATGCCGAGGCAGCATAGTTGTAACTGAGTAGTTGCTCGCCTTATACATAGAAGTCGGCTATTTCCTGTAATAGTAGAATCATTCTGTCAAATTTATATTAGTTTTCATAACATAATTATTTCTTTCTCGTTTCTAGATGAAGAACACTTCACCCTCTCTACTTTTCTAATATAACATACGTTTTTTTTTCTTCTCATAAGTTGTTAATTTTTTTTACTTTCTTCCATTTCTTATGGTGGCAAGCAGATTCTGTGGAGAGATTTCACATTTCAGCATTTATCTTATTCGTTTTGGCTCAGAATATTCTTGAGGCAGAGGGTCCCTGGTTCGAAAGCTTTCTTTATGTAAGATTTGGAAATATTTTAGCTCCTACAATTTGTTGAATAAGTTTAGTTTGTCGTGTGGAATCAATTTCTCTTCCTGCCTTAGTCTTGCTCCTGACATATATTTTGTTTAATCCAGAATATCTTCTTGGTGTACGTATGTGAAATGGTTATTGATATTATCAAGCATTCATTCATTGCTAAATTCAATGATATTAAACCCATTGCCTACTCTGAGTTCCTTGAAGACCTATGTAGACAGGTATTTCAGCTAATTTATGTGTATAAAAGCGATATGCTTAGTTGTTTTGAAAGCTATATTCAGCTGGAACCACTTTGAAAATGTGGTGCTTTTTTTCAAATTGGTACTTAGAGCTGATAGCCTTATTGGGTTTTTGAGCAACAAATTTGACAATGCATTAAGATACTCCACGAATCTATTTCAAATGTCTTTTACATTGATAATGTGGTATCTTCTTAATTCATTTGAGTTTCTTTGATTTATTTTCTAATTTATCCCTCCACCTACATTGTTTATTCCGTAATGTTAAAAAATGAATTTCTTTTACCATGTAGCAGTTTCTTATACAATACTACCTCTTTTTTTTTTTTTTTTTATTTATTATTATAAGTCGTTTTAACATTTTCACATGTATTAAGAAATGTGATCATCAATGAATGAAAAAGATAAATAATAAAGGATTTTACAAAATGGTATAATAGGAAAAATAACATCAATGATTTATTGATATTGCAAAACCACTTATAATTTGAAACAATTTTTTTTCTCAAAGGGATTTATAATAGAAAAACGGAGGGAGTATTACGTATTAGTGCATACAAGTGTATTGTAACAAAAATTTAGTGGACACCTGAGAAAGCCACTATAGTAATAAATAGCAGGTTAAGAATTATGTATAACTCTGGATCTTTATATTATGACAATAATATTGCATTAACCTTATAGCCTGTTAAGAATATATGCCTAACCTTGAATTTTTGCTTTATGTAGACTCTAAATTTGCAAACTGAGGGTGTAAAGAAAAACCTAACTTTTGTCCCCCTTGCTCCGGCGTGTGTGGTAAGCATAAATGCGTTGCAGGTGTTTGTTTAGTTTTTTCTGTTTGTTTGCATCCAATTTGATGTCTGTATATTTTTTCCTTTCATTACTTGTTCTTAGGTTATTCGAGTTCTAACCCCAGTATATGCTGCAAACCTTCCTCAAAATCCTCTTCCATGGAAAATTTTCTGGATTCTGCTTTTTTCAACAATGACCTATGTTATGCTCACAAGCCTCAAGGTTCTCATGGGTATGGGCCTACAGAAACATGCCACTTGGTATATTAATCGTTGCCGAAGGAGGAAACATCACCTTCATGCAGATTAGTTTAGGAGGTCAAATATTACTGTCTTGAGTTAATGTGCTCTGCTGCCCAGGGAATCACACTCATGTGCCCAAAGGACATGGAGACTTTTCTGAAAGGCCTCAGCTCTTGCTTAATCATCGTGAATGGCACATATGAGAACAACTTTATCGGTCTTTTGATAAGACAAACCTGGAGATGGTTTCTCCTTCCAATTTTGACAGAAAAGTATAGTTTGATGATTACACAATAAGGATAGAAGTTTTTTTTACAGAATAAGAATAGAAAGTTATATATAGGTTGTGTAGTTTTCATTGGTTGTAATCATGTCTCCCCTTCCATTCTAATTAAATTTGGCAAACAAAGTTACTTCCCATTCTTCCTTAAAGGCAATGTAAAGTGTGTTTGGTTACATCAGGGTGCTCAATGGGTTCCAATAGAGACATAGAAATGCATGAAAACAAATATTAATTGCCATTGGAAAGTGATTTGAACCAGTACGTTTCTCTAATGCTCGTGTGTCTTGAAGCGGTTTAATGAAGAGAGGAAACAGAGACGAGAGAAGACGCTTGAGAAAGCCTAACTTACTTGCTTGACTGTGTAAGTCGCTAACGACTATTTAGAATTTTTTTTGCATAAACTTGTTCAAGACTAGTTGCAAAAGCATAAAACAAAATAAGCTATGCTGATCAGTGTTTAAAGACGTGAACCTTCTCGCCTATTATTTTACTATAGATGAACAAGTATAAAGATACAAGCATAAAAAGAAGTGTGAAATTATTGTATGAAATTATTGTTTAGTATTGGTTGGAGGTGAAGAGGAACTTTCTTGTTGACAGTGAGCCCAAATTTCTCAGTCATGTCTATTTCTTGAAGAGATGCATCATCATTTGTAGGTGGCTTCCAGTCAAACCAATACAAAAGATTAGCAACCATATGCTCAGTGGAAGCAAGCCCAAACGCAATACCAGGGCATTTTCTTCTCCCAGAACCAAATGGGATAAATTGAAAGTCTTGACCATTAAAATTAACCTTGTTATTTTCAAATCTCTCAGGTAGAAACTCTTCTGGCATTTCCCAAAATTCAGGGTCCCTCTGGATTGTCCATGCATTGATATATACCAATGTTTTATCAGGAATATCATACCCTCCAAGTTTAACACTAGATGTTGTTTCTCTAGGAGCCAGAAGAGGAGCAGCTGGATGCATCCTCAACGTTTCTTTGATTACACATTTCATATAGTCCATTTGATTGACATCACTGTCCTCTATTTTTGTTTTTGTCCCTACAATTCTTCTTACTTCCTCCTGTGCTTTCTTCATTATGGCTGGATTTCTTACAAGTTCTGTCATAGTCCATTCAACTGTTGTTGAAGTTGTGTCACTTCCTCCTAAAAACATGTCCTGAAAATATGGGAACAAAAACAGTTGGGATTATGTGAAGAATAAAATCCTGCAAGATTATAATGCTTATTAACCACTGCCAGACAAAAAAACTTATGATGTTTTATGAATTAGTATTTTAATATAGCGTGAGCTTTGAATTAGTAGATTAATTAAACCAATATTTTAATTGCCATTGCGACACATCCAAATCTTGATGGATATTTGAATAGAAATTGTCAATGGATTTGGTTTTCCATGAGGAGAAAGGGATTGGAAGGAAAACCATTAAAATTGCTTTTAAGTCACTTTCTGTGAGGTCGAACTCCGAAAGACCATCAGCCTGAAGTTGAAGCAGAATGTCGAGGAAATCTTTCTTGTTGGGGTCTCTCCTGGCCATCCTATGCCCTACAATTATATGATCAAAGAATTCGTCCATTTCTTCAAAAGTAGCCTTAAATTTTTTAATTTGGCCAGTGAGAACATCAATCCAACCCAACGAAGGGAACATATCTCCCATACTAAAATCTGAAATTTGAACCATTATCTGCCTGCCAAGCTCTCCGAATCTGCAACCATCAGCATCATACTTTTTTCCAAACATACACCTACAGATTATGTTGTTTGCAGTTGCTATCAACATCTCACTGAGGTTCACAGTGCAACAACCTTCACTCAAACTCAACGCATTCCGTATCTTATCAACCAATGCCATCGCTTCTTCTTCTCTAATAAACTCTAGTGATTGCACCCTTTTCTGACTCAACAATTCAATCACACACAGTTTCTTTTTCTGTCTCCATGTATCACCATAAGATGCAAACGCAATGTCCTTGCATCCATAGAGTAAAATTTTTGTTGATGTCAGGTTCGGCCGGCTTGCAAAAATGGTATCATGTGTATACATGACTTCTTTGGCCATATCTACTGAGGAAACCACCAACACTCGAAGCTGGCCAAGGTGCAACAGCATCAGAGGACCATACATTTGTGATAGGGAATGAAAAGAACGATGAGGTAGTGTTCCCAGCTGAAGGTAGTTGCCAATTATTGGCAATCCAGGAGGGGATGGAGGTAGATTTGATTTGTTTATTCTTGTGAACTTGAGCACCAGCAGTATGCTGATGATGAAGGAAAGAAACATGAAAAGGGTGGTATTTAGATCGTGCTTCAGAAATGATGGTAGATATTGGAACATTCTAAACATTTTCTTGCTGATATCAAGTACTTGAAAATATCTATCTTTTATTTGTTTATTTAATTTGATGTGTGTTGTTGATCCGTTATGCATGTGTGTTTAAATACTGAGAAATTAACCTCGTATCGTAAGAAGCTACAAAAAAGGATACCTACGTGTTGCCTTTAGGTGGTAGAGGTGACGCCATTCTTCTGATCAGACCCATTTAATACAAAATCATAACTTCAAAAAGAATTAGAATTGTTGGGATTGGTATACTCGATCCTACATGAAGAATAACACAGGGTGTGTAGAAGTGCCCCTTTACTCTAAATCGGTGTGTCGGCAGATTTCTCCCATATACATGTCATGACAAGTTTCATTATTTACAGTTTTCTAAATCACTTTTTTAATCGGACAACAGGGTTTCAACACAAATCTTGTTTTATTATTTAGGTTTTGGTTACATCTCTCGAACGATCCAATGTCCTTCTAAAATACTAACACAAATCTAATGACAAAACTAACAGACCATAGCACCGGATTCAAATAGAGAAAAGACTAATATAACCAAGAGTTGAATCAAAATCCCAAGTTGAGTATTTAACATATGAGTGCATTATTCAAAAAAAATTTTTTTGCACGTATACAATGTAAGAGCTTGGCCTAAATGAAATTCCAGGACATCCCCAGAACCAAATGGAATGTATTACAAATTATCATTCAACAATAATCATTCACAAGTTAGTTAGGCACTAACTAACTGGTTTATCCAACTTTCCAGATATATCAAGTCTTTACTAAAGAAAACTTTTCTAATAAAGAAAGTTGTTCTTAGTAGTTAGTTAGTGACACTTAGAGATTTGTTAATGAGTTTCTATCATGTATGAGAGTTTCTATCATAGATAGGATGGACTCACACCCTTATAGATATATACATTTTGTAATCTCATTTCAGAGTAATGAAAAATGATTCATGTTTCATGTTATGGTATCTAGAACCATCATGAACTTTTATCTTGAATCTTCTTCTTTCAATTTCGATCATTATTCTTCATTAATTGATTCCGTTGTAAATTGTTTCGTCAAGATCATTCAATCACTGAATTGTCGTTGATTTGTGTGAATCATCCAGTTTGATTTTGTTATTAGTTATTACTTTCAAACGATTAGTTGTTCTTCAATTTCGTTTTCTTAAATTGTTCATCAATTTTCTTTGATTAAATACCCCCTCGCAATGCAAATATGATTCCCGTTCAACCTCAACTTGATTCTGTTTAATGTGTTTATCCAAATGGTAAATCAAATTCGGTCACAATAACACCTAAACTTGATGGCACAAATTATGTTGGTTGGAGTATATATATATATATATATATATATATATATATATATATATATATATATATATATATATATATATATATATATATATATATATATATATATATATATATGGTGAAAAGAAAAACCTTTTCATAGTGGATCACTCAATACTTGTACCTGTTCGAACTGTAGGAAAGCGGCAAGAAGCAAAAATTTAGATTTGAAAGGATTCCTTTCGAAATTTATATCGTCTCCACAGAAAAAAACGTCGTTTAACGGTCTCTATATTTTTAAACTTATTTTGATTAAATTGGTTAAAAGATCAAAGGGACCAAAAATAAAGGCAGAAGATATAAAGACTGGAAATATAAAGTAAAAACTGAATTATAAACGGAGACTTGTTGGGATTGGATCTCATCAATTGATAACACATGCATTCTTCTAATCATGTTATACACAACTCAAACGTCCGTCTAATATCATTATGTATCACCTACAACAGAGGTTATGTCTAACGCAAAATCGAGAAGTCAACCGTATTGTTTCATCGGTGATATCTCACGCAACAAAATTAACACAAAGTATTAAGAACTGATACTCACGTGAATGTTCAACCTAAATCTATGTCTAAAGTTTAGAACCAACAAATATTACTATAACATCCATATTAGATTAATGATTTGATTCATATATATAACGCCATGATCAGAATACGTACACATGATTAATTTTTTTTACGTGCATTTATCTAATCTACCAAATATATGTGAACATCGTTCTTCCTCCCTATTATCACTCATCCTCGCAATACCGTTTGTCAAGCGTTATCGCGGTCTTTACCGTATTGATCCTACTTATGCTACTCATGCTACTTAATCAACACAATAAAATAAATGTGATGCAAATGAATATCAACTTACAAAATCATGTCAAAAGTTTGCTCACTGATATATGAAAATCTAAGATCAAAGAATTGAAAAGGGTTTTGTCAAGACCCACAAATAAGCAATCAAAGACAATTAACAATAGAGAATCAAAACTAGTTCACAATACAAAAATTAGATGAAATACATAAGGTATCAAAAGATTACATCCAAACTCCAACAAGAGACCAAAGATCTTACCTTCTCCCTCTTA